TACACCCCACCCATCTAAAATCCCATCGTACCCTCATGGAAAATATAAATTAACACTTTTCGGTGGTTTATTTGATATATTCAAGTGTTTCCTTCAAAGTTCTGGACGCTCTGTGGGAAAACTAACCAGGTACAGAGGGTTGACCTGCACCAGTGCAGGGACACATGACTGTCACCAAGGGTGGCTGTATGTGCCGTCATGTATTCTTTCCAGGTTGTGGATCATGGCATAAGTAATAAATCAATAGCTTATTAGCTGACAACAAAGCATTATTAATAACAACTACAGCAGCAGGAAGAACATTTTAACTGTCTGATGTCTAATAAACAAATATAACGTAGAGTACGTGACTGAAAATCACCTAAAACAAACAAACTAAACTAAAAGGCTAAAAATGATCCAGGGGGAGCAACTGGCTGCAGCTCAGATCACACACTGTATCTATGGCAACAGCACGGCTTCGTAGTACAAGAGTCGAGATGGTGCACTGACCCGTCTGCTCTCCAACTGTCACCGAGCAACGGAAAACAGGAAAATACAATAAAGACGATCCAGGACTATTGAGCGGCTGAATCCTCTATCAGACAGCGGGCCCATATATCCCAAACATCCAGGTACTAGTCTGGTCCCAGACTTTAACCTTCTCTCGGAGAATAGAGGGGATGCTACACAGGGGGAATCACAGCCTGTCCCGAGTGTTTGAGCTGTACGGCTGCCATCAGATTACAAACGGGCTAATATGTTCCTTAAATGGTACATTTTCTTAGTTTAAAAGTTTTATTTCTTTTCTGTGTTCGATTGTGAATAAAGTCTGTGAGTGACAAAATGATTCGTGTCACTGCTGAACCCTCAACTCTCCAAATGTGCTCTTTTTGCAAACGTGTGCTCAGAGAATCAAAAATTCTACTTCAGAAACATTTATTAATACAATAAATGCCATCATACTTTCCAAATTCCTGTCAGTCTGCATTAGTTGACAATAAACTGTCAACTAACCACAACTAGGTGTGTGGGACTGTTCAACTGTCCCGCACACCTTCCACCTCCAACATCTAAAGCTAGCAGAAAGCTAGCAGAAACAAAAGCAGGACAAACTGATTCTCTCAGCAGAGGAAACTCATCTGTAAAGGCTATAAAGCAGGACAGGGAGGCCGGCGTCCTGCAGGCTTTAGATATCACCTGAATCACATCATTAGTTCATCATCAGGCCTCTGGAGAACTTTGATGTTGAGGAGGTCATTTAGCCATGTGGATCATCTGTGTTGGGTCAAGAACACATCTAAAACCTGCAGGACACCGGCCCTCGAGGAGTTCCCCACACCTGCTATAAAGTGTCAGACCCACTGTCTGTCTATCTGAAAGTGTGGGAAGATGAAGGAAACGTGGCTTCTTCACGGGAGGATTGTGGGGCACACCAGCAGAGGACTACTCTGACCCTGCAGCTGACTCAGGTGAGGTCACATACCTTGAAGACCTCCGAGAAGAAGCCTGA